ACAAATATTACTAAAATATTAATTAGAAGCGAATCATTTCACTGTTGATTAATAGGCAATATTATATTGACTTATTTTTTGTGCACTCACTTATTGTGTGAAATTATTATCAAATTATTCTAGAGCAGATATTTATTCCTATAGTATTTCTGACATGGATTAACGACACAATCAAAAGCTTTACCGGCAATTGCTTTAAATTATTACATCGTACATTCAATAACCTCGAAGATGAAATTGTCGGACGAAGATTTTAAGATAGAAATACGATATTTTTAACGGATTTGATAAAAATGCGATTATATAATTTGCAATGCGTATGTTTCTATTCGCGTGTATAGGGTGTTTATTTTAAAAAATTTTCAATTTGTTTATTTTGTGACTGACTAATCTTTTCAAAAAATGCCAAAAGATCAATCTTTTTTAAAGGGAGACGTATGAGTGCGATAAATTTAATACGGTGCCACTTTATCCCCTTCGTCGGGGTAACATCCCTTTAAAAACGTGAAATGGTAATACGTGCCAAGTGGCATAGCCTGTATATTATATAAGTATACAAGTGTGACCCCGCGATCACGCGCCGATCGGCTGATCGCGACGATATTCTCGCATGTTTTGATTGCGGCTCTTACCGTTCAGATTTGTCGGTTGAATTTACAGTCAAATTTATCGATCAAATTAAACGTATCAATCTTGAACATACCGCCCGCCTTGAGATAGACGCATGCTGCACGAGCGAGAATAAACATCGTCGTGATCATATATTAAAAACATTATATTTTTTATCGAGTTTCATTATACGTGTACGCAAATAATTTTTGTTCTTTAATTTTATTAATTTTATTGTACTGTTTTATTTTATTACAAAGAGAGTTTGTCTGCACCTCTGAAAAATGACAATTTTTAAATACCACTCTCGAAGCAATGGTGTGTGAAACTGTTTTCCTCATATAAAATATAAATGATAAGATGCTTGATTGCGTTCCATTTTCCCCTACAAAACATTTTCTTCGCCGTGAAAGTTCAGCGGAAGCACGTAGGTGGAAAATGCGTTTGCATTATTTTTATAGTTAATTAAAAAATTGTTGATGCATTTGTGTGACTATATCGATTCATTCGTAAATATTGATTTACTGCCGCGTAAATGGGGTCCGGGTCCACGTTACAGCTGGCTATTTATATGATAACCAGTCTATCTAAAATCTAAAGGATAATAATCTAAAAGGGCATATGAATAGTCTTTACAAACTATGAGTCCTTAGAGAATCTACATTATTACGATCTCTAAAGGTCAGCTGCACTGTCATTGATTATTCTTAATTACGGTGTATTAAGTTTTTTTCGTCTGCAATCTCGGACGAACGGTAGTTTAATTACAGACTTTATGTATGAAAAGAAAAGAAAACTGCCGTAACAAACTGTCATTTGAAGCAAAATCTCAATGAATTAGAAATTAGAATTTTATTTTAAAAGAAGAGAGAAAGAATTGTGTGTGAAAAACACGCAAATAACAAAGTTTTCTTACTGAATACATCAATTTTATTTTAATTGAGGATAAATATACAATAACATTTATGTTTTTAAAATTAATTTATTGTTAGCTGGAGAGAAGGTAACTCTGTAAAATCGGTGTATAATGACAATTGTTTATTAACCAATTCTATTCGAAATCAGACATCAATCAAAGATTAATCGATTTTTTATCTTTACTCATTTTAGTGGGTATCTCTTTAATTAAAATTTAATATGATTTTGCAACACATTTTTGTTAAAACTGAGGTCGAGTATCTTAGAATGCGTTGTAGATGGAGAAAGAAAATTTAATTAATCATGTTTAACTCGAATGACCACAAGTAACTTTATATTTGTAATATAATAGAACGTACTACTTTTTTCTAGCGATTGTTTTTAGCTTTTTGATTATGAATTCGATATCGTGTCGGTCGTCATGTCTGCTTTAAAGCTTCATTATTCACGTAATTCTTGGTTGTATTTTTCTCTTTTCTTTTCTCTCGATATTTACCTCGTCTTATATTGCTTCATTACGCAAAACAATCAGGATTTGAAAAACTAAAGTAAAAATATCACAGCATTTTTAATGAATTTGTAATTTCCTGTGCCATTGCATCTTACCGCTTTTTCCATTGTAACATGGGAATAACATGTAAATGTAACAGTTCTTATACCTAATTTATGTTGAGATTATATAACTGTCTCTTATTTATGCAATATAACACTAGAAATATAATTATTATATAATATGGGAGTAACATGTAATGTAACAGTTGTTATACATAATTTATATTGGGATTATATAACTGTTTCTTATTCATACAATACAACACCAGAATATAACTGCTATGTAACATGGGAATAACATGTAAATGTAACAGTTCTTATACCTAATTTATGTTGAGATTATATAACTGTCTCTTATTTATGCAATATAACACTAGAAATATAATTATTATATAATATGGGAGTAACATGTAATGTAACAGTTGTTATACATAATTTATATTGGGATTATATAACTGTTTCTTATTCATACAATACAACACCAGAATATAACTGCTATGTAACATGGGAATAACATGTAAATGTAACAGTTCTTATACCTAATTTATGTTGAGATTATATAACTGTCTCTTATTTATGCAATATAACACTAGAAATATAATTATTATATAATATGGGAGTAACATGTAATGTAACAGTTGTTATACATAATTTATATTGGGATTATATAACTGTTTCTTATTCATACAATACAACACCAGAATATAACTGCTATGTAACATGGGAATAACATGTAAATGTAACAGTTCTTATACCTAATTTATGTTGAGATTATATAACTGTCTCTTATTTATGCAATATAACACTAGAAATATAATTATTATATAATATGGGAGTAACATGTAATGTAACAGTTGTTATACATAATTTATATTGGGATTATATAACTGTTTCTTATTCATACAATACAACACCAGAATATAACTGCTATGTAACATGGGAATAACATGTAAATGTAACAGTTCTTATACCTAATTTATGTTGAGATTATATAACTGTCTCTTATTTATGCAATATAACACTAGAAATATAATTATTATATAATATGGGAGTAACATGTAATGTAACAGTTGTTATACATAATTTATATTGGGATTATATAACTGTTTCTTATTCATACAATACAACACCAGAATATAACTGCTATGTAACATGGGAATAACATGTAAATGTAACAGTTCTTATACCTAATTTATGTTGAGATTATATAACTGTCTCTTATTTATGCAATATAACACTAGAAATATAATTATTATATAATATGGGAGTAACATGTAATGTAACAGTTGTTATACATAATTTATATTGGGATTATATAACTGTTTCTTATTCATACAATACAACACCAGAATATAACTGCTATGTAACATGGGAATAACATGTAAATGTAACAGTTCTTATACCTAATTTATGTTGAGATTATATAACTGTCTCTTATTTATGCAATATAACACTAGAAATATAATTATTATATAATATGGGAGTAACATGTAATGTAACAGTTGTTATACATAATTTATATTGGGATTATATAACTGTTTCTTATTCATACAATACAACACCAGAATATAACTGCTATGTAACATGGGAATAACATGTAAATGTAACAGTTCTTATACCTAATTTATGTTGAGATTATATAACTGTCTCTTATTTATGCAATATAACACTAGAAATATAATTATTATATAATATGGGAGTAACATGTAATGTAACAGTTGTTATACATAATTTATATTGGGATTATATAACTGTTTCTTATTCATACAATACAACACCAGAATATAACTGCTATGTAACATGGGAATAACATGTAAATGTAACAGTTCTTATACCTAATTTATGTTGAGATTATATAACTGTCTCTTATTTATGCAATATAACACTAGAAATATAATTATTATATAATATGGGAGTAACATGTAATGTAACAGTTGTTATACATAATTTATATTGGGATTATATAACTGTTTCTTATTCATACAATACAACACCAGAATATAACTGCTATGTAACATGGGAATAACATGTAAATGTAACAGTTCTTATACCTAATTTATGTTGAGATTATATAACTGTCTCTTATTTATGCAATATAACACTAGAAATATAATTATTATATAATATGGGAGTAACATGTAATGTAACAGTTGTTATACATAATTTATATTGGGATTATATAACTGTTTCTTATTCATACAATACAACACCAGAATATAACTGCTATGTAACATGGGAATAACATGTAAATGTAACAGTTCTTATACCTAATTTATGTTGAGATTATATAACTGTCTCTTATTTATGCAATATAACACTAGAAATATAATTATTATATAATATGGGAGTAACATGTAATGTAACAGTTGTTATACATAATTTATATTGGGATTATATAACTGTTTCTTATTCATACAATACAACACCAGAATATAACTGCTATGTAACATGGGAATAACATGTAAATGTAACAGTTCTTATACCTAATTTATGTTGAGATTATATAACTGTCTCTTATTTATGCAATATAACACTAGAAATATAATTATTATATAATATGGGAGTAACATGTAATGTAACAGTTGTTATACATAATTTATATTGGGATTATATAACTGTTTCTTATTCATACAATACAACACCAGAATATAACTGCTATGTAACATGGGAATAACATGTAAATGTAACAGTTCTTATACCTAATTTATGTTGAGATTATATAACTGTCTCTTATTTATGCAATATAACATAATCTTCTTGATATAACTCTATTTTAAGAGTTATTTCAATATTATATATATATATTGCTTGTAGTTAATTAATGAATAGAATTTAAAGATTTTATATAAAAAGGAAGAAATATATATATATATATATATATATATATATATATATATATATATATGGTTGTAACTTGGTGAAAAAAAAATAAAGATGTGATATAAGTGCAGGTTATATATATATAGAGTGTAAGAAGTACAGTGAAAAAGAACAGACTCGTCCTCTCGTCCATCTTCCATTCGAGCCGAGCATCGAGATTAATACACATCATTTGAATCCAAGGTAATCTTTTTTTTTTAAGACTAATCAATTTTTCATATGAATAAATTTCACTTGCCAAATATTTTTAAATCTGTTATTATATATAATATTACACATATTTGGTGCTCGTTATCAATAAGATGTCCAGAACTTGAAATAGCATTCATTTTACATTAAAGAACATATTATATAATCATAAAAATTGTTTTAAAGATTATGTCGATCTAAAAGACTTATATTTGTATTTACAAATATTTTCAATAAATTTCTCACATATTTAGCATGGCTTCATAATCCAGATATTAATGCAACTTAACCTCAAAGCGATTGGCTAAACTTGTTTGCATTAGGTAATTTTAAAATTCATTTAAGTTTATATATTTGATGTATAAGCGAAATATAATTAATAATTATCATCTTTGTTATGTTGCAGCAATCTGTCACAGACATATGGATGTATATATGTTTTAAATAAAAAATATATATATCAGATTATGTGGACAGCGCATTACGATTAGGTAAGTTTGAATTAAATATTGTATTACAATATAAGTGAAAAATTATATTTGGCTTTCTTATTAATATGCATTTTCTGTATCTTTCTGTTGCAGCAATCTATCACGGACAAGTTATTACTTATTAAGACGTGGATGATACATATTAGGTGGTACGTGGATGATACATATTAGATGGTACGTGGATGATACATATTAGATGGTACGTGGATGATATATTCCAATTACATGGACAACATATGGATGTATATATGTTTTAAATAAAAAATATATATATCAGATTATGTGGACAGCGCATTACGATTAGGTAGGTTTGAATTAAATATTGTATTACAATATAAGTGAAAAATTATATTTGGCTTTCTTATTAATATGCATTTTCTGTATCTTTCTGTTGCAGCAATCTATCACGGACAAGATATTACTTATTAAGACGTGGATGATACATATTAGGTGGTACGTGAATGATACATATTAGATGGTACGTGGATGATATATTGCAATTACACGGACAACATATGGATGTATATATGTTTTAGATAAAATATATATATATCAGATTATGTGGACAGCGCATTACGATTAAGTAGGTTTGAATTAAATATTGTATTACAATATAAGTGAAAAATTATATTTGGCTTTCTTATTAATATGCATTTTCTGTATCTTTCTGTTGCAGCAATCTATCACGGACAAGTTATTACTTATTAAGAGGTGGATGATACACATTAGATGATATGTGGATGATATATTGCAATTAGAGGTATGTGTTGAAATGAGTAATGCGTTTGTCTGTATAGACAGGGTGTCTGATAACTTTTGACACACCCGAAGTGTGAAGGTAGATTGGCTCAAACAGAAAAGAAAAGACCTGTACCATTTTTTTGTATAACGCTTAATAAAGAAGTTATTATTGAGTAAAGTCTGGCCAATCAGCGTCGATCTTTAGCCGGACGCACGTCAGTGAGCTGCGCGCCTGGTAGTGGTGCGCCACTGTGACAGCTGAGCGCTCACGCACACTACCAGGCGCGCGGCTCACCGACGTGCGCCCGGCTAAAGGTCGGCGATGATTGGCCAAACTTTACTCAATAATAACTTCTTTATTAGGCGTTATTCAAAAAAATGGTACAGGACTTTTCTTTTCAGTTTGAGCCAATCTACCTTCAAACCTCTGATGCGTCAAAAGTTATCGGACATCCTGTATACTTATATCTATATATAAGTTATACATATAAATATTATGCGTCCTTTACAATAGATGTAATAAGCTTTAAGCATAAGCAATCATAAGCATCCGGGAAAAAAGCCCATATATAAATATATATGAAATATATAAATAAGATCGCTATCATGCCAAAGGAATTTCAATATTTATCAAAAAGGCGGAAGAATCAAATAATTAATCGCGAACTGACTTATTACAAACATTCAAAACAAGTATATTCAATCAATTCGAATATAGCATCTGATACAATAGAAGCAGGAAATAGTAGTAACAGTAATTTAACTAATGTCGATGATACATTTAATAAAACAAATAAAATTAATATTTTGTCTCAAGATCTTAATGAAATGAGTGAATCAAGTGTAGAATCACAATCTGATAAAGAAAATAACGAGGAACATAACGTTGAAGCACAAGATCATATTTCTCATATAAGTAGTATTTCTGATTGTAGCCATAAGACGAGTTTACAAGAAGATTTACAAAAATTAATTATTGAACGAAATATTGCACATAATACTGTTAACGAGTTACTGACTATTTTAAGGAAACATGGCCATGTAGATTTGCCTAAAGACGTGAGAGCATTACTTCAAACGCCACGAAATGCATCTGTAAATATTAAATCTCTGGGTAATGGTCGCTACTTACATTTTGGTATTTTTTCTCCTTTAAAGCGATCCATACAAATATATTCTGAATTTATTACTGGGAACAAAATAAAATTAAATATTAATATTGATGGCTTACCAATTTCCAAAAGTTCAGGTAGCCAATTTTGGCCCATAATGGCATCTATTGAAGATGTAGATACGTATACATCACCTTTTATAATTGGTATTTATCATGGCATGTGCAAACCTAATAACGCTAACGATTTTTTGTTTGACTTTGTTAATGATTTTATTCTTCTTTTTCAAACAGGCATCATTGTTTCTAATAAAAAATATACAGTAACTCTTAATGCAATATTATGTGATGCCCCGGCGAAATCATTTATTACCTACACAAAAGGTCATACAGGATATTTCTCTTGCCCTAAATGTATTCAGGAAGGTGATTTTGTACGTAATAGAGTAGTTTTTCCAGAAATTCACAACATGTTACGTACAAATGACACATTTAAAAATCGTACACATATTGAACATCACACAGGTGATTCTATATTAGAAAAACTCGCGATTGGAATGATATCCCAAATCCCATTAGATTATATGCACCTTGTTTGCTTAGGTGTTGTCAAGCGATTGCTGCAACTATGGGTCAGAGGAAATAGAAATATTAGATTATCTTCAGAGGCTGTAAATTCAATTTCGTGTTATTTAATTGCATTGAAACCCTTTATTCCAGCAGAATTTGCAAGAAAACCTAGAGGTTTAAATGATATTGATAGATGGAAAGCTACAGAATTTCGCCAATTTCTGCTTTATACCGGAATTGTTGTTATGAAATTAGTATTGCCTACAAATTGCTACAATCATTTTCTTTCTCTTAGTGTTGGGATTAGAATATTAACTGATGAAGAACTATGTGTGCCATTCAACGCTTATGCGAATTTGTTGTTATTGTACTTTGTTTCGAATTACGGAAATATTTATGGCGACGAGTATATGTCGCATAACGTTCACAATCTTCTACATCTTTCCAATGATGTACAAAATTTTGGTTCTTTAGATAACTTTAGTTGCTTTAAATTTGAAAATTATATGCAACAGATTAAAAAAAAAATTACATCAATCGGGAGCACCTTTAGAAGAGTTTTGTAATCGCACTTTTGAAGAATTACAGCTTCCCATTCAATCATGTAAAATGCAACAATATCCGATTGTTTTTTATAAGAAAAATAACGCCATTTCTCATGTCCAATTCAAAAATTTTAAAATTGCAGCCAATGAAGCTGATAACTGTGCTATACTTTGTGATAAATCTGTAATATTTATCTTGGATATATTTAAAGAAGACTGTGTTTGTTATATTCGTGCAAAACGTTTTTTAAATCCAAAGGCTTTTTTTCATATACCCTGCTCGTCAGAAAGACTTGGAATATTTTTAATATCAAATACTACTACTACAGACATAATTAAAATTTCAATAACGCAAGTAAAAAAGAAGTGTTTCAAAATTAAATGTGTTGATGAAATTGGTTCTTATATTACAATACCATTGCAAGCCACTAATAATTAGATGTTATAACTTTTTGGTTGAATATATTTCAATTTTTTTCATTTTTGTATGCGTACGCTTTATATGATTAAATTTATATGCATTATATGCAATAAACGTACGATTCTTTTGTCTTTATATGAAATATTGCAAATACAAATTTTGATGGATTTTTAGTTCATGACTAAAAATATTTCAAAGGTGAGTGTATAGTATTTTACTATAACAAAGATTCATGTTTCATTTTATACAAGTTAAACAAATAATGTGAAAAAAAAGATTTGGAAGATTGTTTAATCTACATTCTGTTTGACAATTTTCTTTTTCGAAGGCCTTTTTTATAAATCTGTAATTTGTAAACACGAAGAATCGATATACAAAAATTTTATATCAAAAGTAGCAAAAGTATTATATGTATCAATGTTAGAACAAATTTGACAAGAAAATTAATCTTACAGCAATTTTAGTTTTGTTTCCATTAAAAATATTATGTTCAATTTCATTTTGTTTTTAAAATTATTGATGTTATTACGAACTAATTTCTGTTTTCAGTTTTTGAAACGTTATACATTTCCCACATTTTCCACAAGATGAGTTGTGAAAATAAGAAATATGCAGTAGTTAAATTTTTATCAGATTCTACATATTCTGAAATTCCAACAGCATGGCTTTTTAAAGATAAGGAGGATATTCAGCAATGTTGGTGGCCACCTCGAACGGCAAACAGTGCAACATTAATAATAAACTGTGAAAGTCCCGATTCTACATGGAATAGTTATGAAGTGGATATCGTAAAATATTGTAGTAAGTATTTGCATTAATATATAATCGTCAAGTTTACTACATAAAACATAAAGTAACATATAGGAAAAATAAAATCATTTCTTATGTTTTTACCTCTTAGTTAAATAATGAATTACTATCATAATATACAAATATATGTACATGCGAAGTATATGATGTAAAATACAGATTTAATTACCAGTAAATATTAAAACTATTATGCTAGTCAGTGAATGAAAAATCTAAATGTAATTTTTTGTTTTTTACTGCAGCATCTCTTGAATCAGCTCGAAAGAATGCAGCAGATTCTAATTATAGCACAACCGACGAAGAACGACTGGGCCGAGGAAAGAGGCAACGTATTTTGTATAGTCGTTTCAGCGATGAAGAAGAATATGATCATCAATCTCAACCTCGAAAATATACGAAAAGTAAAGTACCGTTGACACATATTTTACTATAATTGCGTCCGTTTTGGACACTTTCGTACTGAAAGCATTATTCTATCTTTATCAGCATATAATGAGCAATAAAGATAGATTGATGCTATCAACATGAAAATGTGCAAAGCGAATGCATATTTCCTTTATATTATAGCATAATTTTCATATAACTATTTTGCATTGTTATTGTTCACGAATCCTTGCAATGTAATATTGGAATACAAATATTGGATCCTATTTACAGAAAAACATATTAAAACTGCTGTTCAAGCAACCACCAACACTATTCAGCAACTACCATCATGTCCTCCAAACTTGGATTTTATTAACAAAGAACAACAAAACAAGATCTTAAAAATTAATAATGACAACAGACACAACAAAATTATTACTTCACAAAATGGTATTTCTTTATGATAAAAATATATAAAATATGATAATTATTATTGCATGATTATAGTAATATTATACATGGTAATTTATACATTTCTAGAAGAAGAAAATGAATTATTGATAACAACAGATATGGGAGACAAGGAGAATGAATATTCCAATCTGTACAATGTACCCATAATATTACAAGGTATATAAATTACAATATTAAAATCACCATTAATTGTAAAGCATTAATTGTAAAACTACAAACTTTAATTTTATAGGGAACGCTCCACCGATTCAAAACTTAGAAGATATCTCTAATATAAAAGGTAAATTATTTTTGTATATTATTTGTATTCAATTCACAAGTTATCATTTTGTGTATATAATTTTTTTGATCATATTGCAGATAGTATACAACAAATGTTGCGTATGCAAGCAGTAGCAAATATTACATTAAAAGATTTGCAGCAACGATTATTAAAAATAGAAAGGGCCATTAAACACCGCGCGTTAAGTCCTGAAAAAATTAATGATGATGTCATAGCGCCATTCTTACCATTAACAACAATTGAACTTATAAAAGAGTTTGATGCACTACTGAAAATATCAGCTGAAGCTGTGAGACAATTTGTAAGTACAAAAATTTTAGCAAGATTAGCACATTGATAACGATATAGAAATTTTTTATTACTATGATCACTTTAAATACATAATTTAAATACATGTCACATTTATTTACTTATTTTTTCTTCTTTTTTCATAGAAAGAGTTTTTATCAAAAACGGGTGGAAATAACGCCAGAGATAATATCCATCGTATCCTGAGGTGATTGGGGAGGATATTTTCAATTCTCCCCGGATGCGATATTGCGCGATTAATTACGAAAAGAGAGTGGACTGTATTTTCACGAAAGGGAACACTCGAAATAACGAAAGCGAAATTGACTCACCGCACGGTGCGTACCTTATAGTCTCGTAGCTCGTTTCTCGTCCCTCTTGTAAGCTCCGAATTCCTTCGTCTTGAGTGAGTCGGAGGAAAAGCAGGCGAGCAAGCAGGACGATAATAGGCCAAGCAAGCAAGACGAAGCATGCACGTCGAAAGATGCATAAGAGGCTTCGTCCCTTGTGGCCTGGAACGGCCGTCCTCAAAACTAGTCTGTGCAGACTAGATAACTGCGTCTCTTCGTGAGGACCACTGGCGAGCGAGTGCCGTGGGTCCTGCAAGCGTTTCGCAAGCCGAGTAAAAACTCGAATTTTCGGCACGAGTATTCATCGATGGATCGATGAAGGCAGCACCGATTAGTGAGTTGATAAGAGATCTGCCGCCCGATCCCGATCCACCGACTTCTCGCGCGATAATCGATAAACATGCAAATTAAACAAAGCAAAGACTAATGATTACAATTACCCAAACCAATATTCTATTACTACTACTAATTGTCAAGTGATTAAGATTACAACTATCAATTAATGTGAGCGCCAAACAACTCTATTAAAACTTTGTAAGTTTATTATTTATTTTAGTTTGTACGTCATCAAGTGCGTGCTACAAATGAAAATGTTACAGCTGTGGACAAAACAACATTTCTAACAGTACCTTCAACTGCATCTAAACAAATAGTAGATTATTATAATCCGTCTATTTATGAATCAATATTCAATTATCGTGTTGCAAAAAATATGATTTGAAATATAATGAGAATATTTAATCTAATAATTTTATAAATCATTTTCTTGAAATATCAAATAAAAATTTTGTAAGTGAAACTATGTCCGAGTTTTCTAAATCGTGTATTGGCTATATCAGTAGTTGGGTTATAAAAAAGTTATTAGACAAAAAACATACACAAATAAATTGTGAGATATGCCGTTATGCCCTTATTCATGAACCTCAAATGCATGATGATATAGTTATTGATCTCCTTATTGCTGCAAAAAACAAAAACGGTCTTTTCTTTCCTAGCAAATCAGTAAGTGATATTTGTCTGTACACTGAACAAATGTTCAGATATGTTTTAAACCAAAGTAAATCGATAC